TCTTTCCTGTTTGGGTAAATACAACCACCCTCAACTATAAATCTTCTTACACGTCCACCCTTGCGGTTTCAAATTTAGTGGAATCTTCGAGATTATATGGAATATTATCACTTTTGTACTCGTTTTATCCCATTCGAACTCCACATTTTGAAGCAAGATAATCATAATATGTGTTTTTTGGTTTGTATATATCAGATTGTGGTGCATCAGAAACAGTATTTTTATACAAACTAGAGCATTCCACGAAATCTAGATGATTATGTTGAATTTGACACCATAAGGTTGGAGGTGTAAACAAAATCATAGTAGAGGGGTAGATGCAATTATCCAAACAAGAGGGGGTTTTTCGTAAATTAACCATACCGTAGGGGGTGGTTGTAATTTACCCTAATAAGAATAAAGATCTTGTGTAAAGGGCCCCCCTAAGGTTATTTTTTGTCTATAACATACCGAAATGTCACGTCTGCAGGGGTAAAATCGGTATCAACGGAATAATCCATCGACTCAAAAAGATTCTGTGAAAATCACACCATCAGGGATTCGATGTAAGACGGAAACAAAAGTCTGATGATTTTGATAATTACGGATAAGTGGGAATTTTTTTTATAGTTTAGTCGAATTCCAGAGGTTTTCGTAAATTACCCAATAATTAGTTATATTTATTTTATCGGAGAGTTGTGTTTAACTCTAGTCCAATTGTATATTTTGGTTATCATAAAATCGTATAATTTTATTTTAACTAATCATAATTTTAAAAAACTAAACGAGGACTAAAATATTTTTAAAAAAATAAATAAATAAATAAATAATTGACCGTATTATGTACAATCCATATAATTTCTGACTCCACTTTAAACAACATAATAATTCCAAATCCAGTTAAATACTATTCAATTGGATAATAGAATTTCATGACCATGACTAAAGACTTATCCTAAGCTATATTCCCAGCTTCTCACAATTGAATTATTTGATGTCTTTAGGTGGTGGTATTTGCAATAAGCTTATTAATAAGCAGAAGTTATAGATTGTGGGTTGTGGGTTAAGTTAGTTGTAAGTGCTTATTTCAAAAAGTTCGAGTTGTTTGTAAATTTGCTGGAAAATTAACTTAAATAGGAAAAGCAGATCCAGTGGTGCTTTACAAATTGCAGCTCAAATTGCGTACTTCGAGAGAAGCAAAACCTATAAAAGCTCATTTTGCAAACACCTAAAAATTGATTAGGAGCAGAAAAAACTCATAATCTATTTGTAAAAGCTTTTGTAAACCCCACCTAAATACTATTCAATTGGATAATATATATTTCATGAACACGAACTAAAGGAGGTGTTCATGAAATCGATTATGAGTTTTTTACAACGCATTATTTGTTTTTAAATGTTTGTAAAATAATTTTTTTTTTTGCTTCTCTTAAACTAAGTTTATTTAATCCATAATTTTATAAGCACACAAGTATCTGTTTGTTCTTTTTTAATTGCTTTTCCAACTAATTTACAAATACCCCCAACATTTTAAAATAAACACCTAATCTTAACTTAATTCACGATCAGTAACTTCTACATTTAAATAAGCTTTTACAAACACATTACATCAAATCCTTGAATTTGATGACACATCTCAAATCCTTTTATGTGCAAGTATTATACTACCACATTTATAAAATTTAAAACAAAATTAAAAAAAAAAATTTAAAAAAAATTAAAAAAAGAAAAAAAAAAGGTGGGACCAGATAGAAACAGCCAATGAGGGGTTAGACTGACAACTTTGGATTCCATAAGTATTGTACTTTATGGTTTGGCCAATTGGACAACGACTTATCATATTGACTTGGGCTCTTCAATTCTGATTGATGGGCTTTTTTTTAACCTCATTACATCAAATCAAGGCCCACTTCTTTTTTTCTGTCTGTTCATCCTAGGTTTTGTATTATTTATATATTCCTTTGTAATAATCTGCTTGTCACCTAGCAATTAAATTCTGCTTTGTTTTCTTGATTTAGAGTTTCATCTGATGTTTTTTTATAGACTTCTGATATATTATATGGAGCAGAAATCCAATTTTTTTTTTCTTTTTTTTTATATATATGTGAGATCGAGCTCGGACTCGTCGAGCTTAGAGATTGTACACGTTTGAAGTTTGGACTTTAAGTATTTTTGTTATTAATATTGTATTATACATTATATATGATGCAGAATTTTAATATTGTTTAATTTTTGAATTTCTAATTGTTGACACCGAAATTTCACCAATTAATGGCCAAATAAATCGGTTATTAACTGGGTCTCAAATCTAAGTCCATAACATATTTGAGCTTTACACATGGATTAATCCTTAAATAAGAAATAAATTCTTATTTTACGAATTATCTAATTGGGCTCGAATCTAGCCCAATAAATCAAATGGCGAGTATCCAAGTCCATCGGTCCATGCTACAAGTTAAAACCCTAACTCGTGCCTATAAAAAGCGACCTTCGGTGCATGCAAAAAATGAGACTCACACAGACACATATCGAGCTCTCAAGCTCACGTCTCGAGCCTCCGCCTCGAATTCATAATATATTTGAATTCGTGGTGTTCGTGATAGGAAATCATATATATTCGATTCCTTGAATTCATAACATATTTAAATTCGAGATGTTCGTGATAGGAAATCATTCGTTCGATTCAAGAACAAGCTTTTAAGCCCTTGAATCAAAATTAGAATAGGAGAGAAGAATCAGGGAATTCACGGAGATTGTAATCCGCTTTCGTTTGATAATAAATTTATTTGTTTCCTATATTTTTCTTGTCTTGTATTTTTATTATATTTTGCAGACTCGAAAAATTTGTGGTTTACACTAATATTTATAATATATGTATTATATTAATTATATGATGATAATAGTAAATAAATAAATAATAAAGCTCATTAGTCGAGTCACGAGTTTTGGTTTTTAAAAGTGGAGATAAGCTCAACTCATCAAAAAAGTTTAAGCTCAATTTGAGCTAGAGGTTTGCCGAATCGGTTCACTTAGTACCGAGTTGGCTCGGTTCATTCACGGTTTCGAAATCAAAATTCGTTCATAATTGATGGGGGTAAATTTGGCAAATGCGCCAAATCAATGGTTGAGATGGATCATCGAAAAGGTCAGGCTCAATACGAAGGCCATCTCAGACGATAACCCTAAATAAGGCGTTTAGAAGTAATCTTATTTAGAAGATTCATGGGCTTGAAAGGCACGCAACACAGATACGAAAAGAACATATGAAAGGCACGCAACACGAAATGCATAATAATTCTTACTGAAATGATTTATGTCGTACTAAAATTACGAATACCGTTCATTGTGTTCTTACCTTTCTCTCTACAAACACTCAATCCACCCAAACCCCCTAAAAGCCCCAAAATGAACAAAAACTCTCAACAATCCTCCCAAATCCGAAAATCTTTCAAATTGAAAGGAAATTTCTTATCTAATTTAGTTATATGTGTGTAATTTGTGTTTACTTTGTGGTTAAACATGTGAAAACCCAAAAAAATCGCGTTTTTGTGGCTGTTTTTGTTGCTGGTGTGCGCCATTTCCACGCCCAAAATGGGCGTAAAAACTATTTTCACACGCCCATTTTGGGCATGGAAATCTGGTTTCGGCGACCGTTCTGGACATGCAAATCCCTGATCAGCGTCTGGACCGGTATTCCGGTTTATTATTATATTTTTTATTAAGTTATACGTAAATAATTAAGTAAAAGAAAGCTATAAATGGTTAACTCTGTTATGGTCTAGTTGGTTAGGTTACTCAACTTGCACCTGAGCGACCCGGGTTCAAGTCCAAGCAACGACATGATAAATTATTTTTTGCCCCGGATAAATGCAACAAATGAGCATAATTATATAAGTAAAAGAGTATTAAAATGTATTAGTCTTGTTGGTTATGTTACTCGGCTTTCGCCAGTTTGGGCGTGAAAATTATTTTTCGGCGCCCAAATTGGTCGTGAGCTACGTTTTATCGATTTATTGAACAAGAAACGTACAAATTTTACCTCATTGGGTTGTGTATCTCGATCCTCATCCGATGCACTCACTTTTCTTTGTAAATCGCTACAATAAGATATGTTTCGGGACGGTTTCTAATATAAAAGCTTGAGAGAATTTATTTCTAGAGAGAAAAAGAGAGGTAGAGAGTGAATTATTTTAAACCCGTATTCGTAAAAATGCTACCGCGAATATCACTTCTCTAATTCTTATTTTTGGTCCATTTTGTGTTTAAATAACACGAAATACAAACATACATTTCGTGTTGAATCACAAACATTCAGTTCCAAAAAAAAATCTATAGTGCCCTATTTCGTACCACAAAGCACGAAATTGATGAATCCATCCAGTCCTTCGTAGCACAAACATAAGTTGTAATTTTATTTTCTCAAAATCGACTGAGACAGTCTTAGAGAATTGTGACTTGTTTTGTTGAACTAATAAATCCCACAATATGAATAGCATTTCAGAAAGAAAAAAAAAACTAAAGGTAAACTACACCTACATTCATAAGGTAATACATTAGATATGTTATTCCGATAGAGTTCTAACGCACTATTAATTTCAGTAAGTGGTGGATACTAGGAAACATTTTTAAATCACCCCACAGCTTTATGTTGTCTCCACCACTTGCTGAAACTAAAAAGGCCATTAGAATTCCATCAGAATAACATACCCAATACAATATCCCATTAGAATGTTTAACAATGTTTCAGTGGTGATTGTAATTACCGATACCACAGGGACCTTAAAATTATTTTAGCATACATGAGGGATGCATGTATAATTTACCCAAAAAATAGTTTTACACACTTTGGACATACAATATTTTAATTGAAGTAACGGGAAATTTAGTAATATAAAAAAAAAAAGTTGGGGAGATTTGAGTGAATAATCTCACAGAATTACGGCCCCCAATATCTTATGCAGTTCCCAAGTCTCATTTGACAGTAATTTGAACCAAGGTAGATAAAGTTAACACAATTCAAATTTAAATAACAAAAGACACCAATTAATTAACTTAATTAGTTAATTAAAGTCAATTCATGAAGGGCTATTATTTCTTTAAAAAACAGCAAATTACAGCCAACCCCCTAAGGTTAGGTCAAATTACAAAGAACCCCTTATTATTTGGATAATTACAACTACATCCTTCAACTATATATTTTCTCACAAAAAAACCCCTCCTTCAGATGGTAAATTTAACACAGTAAGAGTGGACGTATAAAACAATACACAAGTGAAGAGGTGGTTTTATTACCCAAACAGGAGGGGGTCTTTTCGTAATTTAATCTTTATCTTAGAGGGTGACCGTAATTTACCAAAAAAAAAAATCCACCTTCACTATTGTATTTTTGTTAAATACAAACCCCATCCTCTGAGATTAGTCACTCTTTCAAAAAAATCCCTCCAGATTACAAACCCCTATAATGAGAGCATCATATCCTCTGATTAGCAACTCTCTCATTTCTACAGATATTATAACAACTTATTTTTTCAGGTATTTCCGAGTATTTACATAGACAACGAGAAACGAGAAATTTAATCAGCTCCTGCAAAAGGACAAGCAAAAGAAAACGTTCTCTGTAAGGTTTCTCGACACTCGAAACGAAACAAATGCACATAAACGAAATAATCACCCCCCCGAAAATGAGATATTTGTATTAAATTTATTGGAAGGAGAGAATAAAAATATATTATACGAAATTCTGTAATAAAAAGTCACCTGTTCTGCACCACTCTGTAGTTAAGGATAAGGTCTTCGGGTTTCTTCCAAATGTACGCCCTCACAGTGGCTAAGCTCATATCTGGAAGTAATACCTGGACAAAAACCACAAGACGATTTTTTTTTTTTTTTTTTAAACTCGGAGAGAAAATAGATTCCACACTTTTTACGGATACTCAAACCTAAGAGGAAACAAAGTCCAATAAATTTATTTTTTTGCACGAAAGAGAACGGGAAATCGGATAAGTTTCACTTTTTTTTTCTGGAAGTCAAAAACTAATTCCACTTCCGTTAAAAAAAATCGAAATTGGAATGGGAAAAGTTGTTCTAAACTCGGAAAATTTCGGATCGAATTCAACGGAATTCGATAAATTCCATATTTTCAGTCACCTATAACATAAAATATATAATAATATTGATATTGTTAATGTAATTTTCTAAATATAATTGGAAATATTTTTCGGGAATATAATTGGGTCATAAATTCAGAATCTAATATGTATTCCACTTCCATTAAAACTTTCAGAAGTCGGAATGAATTAATATTGATCCAAAATCAGAAATTTTCGGACCAAAATCGGCAGAATTTGGAAATTCTGTTCCAAATTCCAATCCTAGGTACAAATGAAAGTTTAGCACATAGAGAATCGAATAGATATAGATGAAGTAAATAAACATACCTGGTTATTACATAGGATTTCAATAGAAGGCTTGAGTCTTTGCCAAGGTCTGAGTCCTGAACGAAGAGAAGAATCTCCAACGAGTGGAAGTGGGCCCGGTCCTCCAAGAATACTAGGAGCCAAAGTTCCATCCGCACTCGCACTAGCCAAACTCTTATCAAGAACCATCTTTTCTATCACATAGTTAACAACCTACAAAACAAAACGAGTGTCGGTATACAAATTTATATTTAAATCAAAACAAAAACTAAAAAAAAATCCCGTCATTCTTACTTTATGTATTCTCAAAATGCGAGGAGCACTGAGTTTTCCTTGTGTAAGGATCTGTACAGCAGAACCTTCACATGGGTGCAAATAGAAGCTACATCTGCAATGGAGAAAAAATTAAATGAAATCAGCATAAATAAAAAGAATAACAGCCATTCGTCACGGATTAAAATCAACCAATTAGAACCGCATCTACACACACACACACACACACACACACACACACACACACACACACACACACACACACATATATATATATATATATATATATATATATATATATATATATATATATATATATATATATATATATATATATATATATATATATATATATATATATATATATATATATATATATATATATAGTGAAAAGGGGTAATTAACTGCCCCCTGAGAGGGCTATTACGAAAAAAACCCTCATTTTTTCATAATTACATCTAGCCCCTTGAAATTTGAAAATTTCTTACATTAACACCCCTTTTGTACGGGGTGGATGTAAGAAATTACTAACTGAAGGGGTCTGCATGTAATTTCTACAAAATGCGAATTTTTTTGTAAATCGACTTTACCTCGAGGAGGTGGTTGTAATTTACCCTTGAAGGGACATTATGCTGGAAAAATTGAAACTGAAGTTTTTAACCCTGCTTATGCTTTACCCAATTATATAATTAAAATAATTTAAACGACCAAAAACAGGTAGTTCAAAAGCAAGTCATAAAGCGAAATAAGAAAAGAGAGAATCTCGATTAAAATTACTTGGTGTTTTCTCTGGGAGGCAGGCGATTATTGAGCACACAATCAAGAACCCACCACGGGAAATCTTTCTCGTCTTCAGTTCCATCAAGATCGGTAGTTTTCTTTCTCCATGGACCGCCCTGAGAGCCTTCAGTAACAACCGAAGGAGGAGAAGTCACCGGAAATTCAAAGGGGGGATATACCGAGGAATCATTTTCCAAATTAGCATCTCCCTCTACTCGAGATAGGGTCAAAGTCCTCGTGGATATTTCATTTCCGGATGGTATTTCTCCGTTTGATGAAGGTTGTGATCCAAATCTCTGCCTTCTTTTAGCTAACCAATGCGACAATAGTCCTTTGAGGGTTTCTCTCGCAAGATTAACCTACATAAGTTCGATTAAACTTTATCCCAATGATATCAAAAAATGTAAAAAAACAAAAAAAAAAAGGTCTTGTTAGCAAATGGGATCTGTTGGGTGTAAATTTAGGGGTGGAAATCAGAGCGATCGGGTCGGAATTAGCATTTTAAGAAAAAATCCTTATTTTGGAAGTGGAAATCTAATACAAATTTCGTTAAAAAAAAAAAAGAAAAGAAACACGGAAATCGGAATTTCAGAAATTTGAATAAAAAACTTGTTCCAAAATTGGAAATTCTCAGATTGGAATCGGCAGAATTCGGGAAATATTATCAACTTTAAGATTGCAATTTCGGAAACATTGGAATTTCCGAAACGGAAATTAAAATCGGACGGAAATCGGAATCTCTCATATATATTCCAATTCCGATCCAAAAAAAAATCAGAAAAAATTGGAATTGGAATGGAAAATATTTTTCCAAAATCGGAAAATTTCAGATCGGAACCGGCAAAAATCGCGGATTCCTCTCCAATTCCCACCCTTGGTGCAATATATATGAATAAAATAACTATATTTGATTAAAATAACTATACTAGCAAATATGTATCTATTTGGAATGAACTATAGGCTATTATAGTTCCATAAAGTAGTAATTATATTCATTATAATAGTAAATACCTTGTCATCCTCAGGTTTCCCCACAATGGAAAGATCAGCAGAGTACATTTCAGCAGAAAAGCACTGTGGAGTGTCTAAATGCACCGACAAACTCCCGAGCCTCGTATCTATCGTGAACCAAGCAGGAATACTCACCTGAACAAACAGAATAAGTAGAACGATGAATATTTAAAAAAATTAAATAAATTAAAAAAAGGACATACTAATGTAAGATAGTTACCATCTCAATCAATTCTTCTTTCTTCTTCTCAAACGGAACCTGCAAACATGGCGTAAAAAAGGTTCAGAAGTCATGGAAACTACTAGAAAGTTCTTTTAGTAAATATATAACTATAATACCGACTCTATCCTCCCGGAGAAACTGCCACGTGTATAGATTATATTAAAAAGTTAAAACCAAAGCATATTACTGACCTCTCCATAATTTTCGATAACGACACCTCTTGTTATTTCCCACAACTTCACTATACCAGCAGTGTCCTTGGAAAATTTAGGATAGAGCAATCGGTTATATTAAAATTGTACAAGATGGGCAATAGCTATTAATAAATTAAAAAAAAAATTAAAATTTAGTGATAAATTACCTTAGTCAGGACGTGTCTTCTATTATTCAAAATCTCGTGCTGCACTATAGCCGGAGTTCCACTAATGCTCAAAGATGCTTCTTTATAAACGGGAACCTAGAGGAATTTCAACAGTCAATATGCAATTGGAGTTGTAATAGGATTTGAATTTTTTATAGAAAAAATAATTAACTGAATCAGAAAATTAGCTGGACACGACTTTTAAGAAAAATGCATGCAACGATTATTTAGTTCCGCCAAAAAAAAATATTTACTCACAGGTGTGGAACCTTCTAGTGAAACCCTGGCCCTTGAAAACGACAAGTTGCCAGCATAAAACGAACCACCTCTTTGGAATACTTTGACGGGATCGCGTGCTTCAGCTGGATATCTATGTACAGAAGAATCTGTTGTGGCCAGCCATATACCATCGTTATCTAATGCTAATTGCAATATAGGATGTTCTTCTCTACATAGCAATACACTTTCTCTTGAGTTCAAGTCTGTCAAATACAACTAAAATAACAAGTAGGAAGGTTAGTTTTTTTTTTTTTTAATCAAGTAAAATGGATTCGGAAATTCGTATTTTGATTTGAAGTTGTAGAGTTGCGGGCCCTTACGGAATGATCCCTTCCACCACTATAAACATGGCTAAATGACGGAGTGCTGGCAAGAGACCACACGGAGTCGGTGTGCACTGCGTAGGAATGAATGCATCGCTGCATCGAAAGATCCCAATACCTATCAAGTTTTCAGCATCAAAATTAATTAAAGAAATTGCTTCGTATAGAAGTTGTTCCAAAAAACACTTTTCACTGAAACGTATAAAAACAAAGACCTAGAAACCAAAATCTGGCGTTTTAATTACTCTCTACATCCCATAATATATGTCGGTTTAAGCAACCAAAATCTGGCGTTTTAATTGTTGCGGACATATTAAGAAAGCCGACAAATATGCATGGATCATAGCAAAAATCATAGAAAATCACTAAAATACCCTTGCTATTAATTAATTCTCAACTAATTATCTTTCAATTAATTAAGAGTGATAAAAGGCAAAATTGCAAAAAGTGCAATTAATGCATCATTGGATTGGAAGTCATTGATTATTCCAATTATCTAAAAAAATTAAGGTTTAGAAAGCTGTATAGAAATCTGTCTCAAAACACAAGCTTCAAAATCTTCGAACTAAAATTAGAATCAAATTCATAATGATTAACAAAATCGAACATTTTAGGAAACAGATAACAGTCATACGAGGTTATTGACATATACGAACAAAGTACTTACCTGATCATAGAATCAGAAGATCCAGAAATGCAATATCTGCAAATTAAGAGATGAAACTATCTCGTTATGCGTTCCAACAACTTGAAAATGGAAACCAGAGTTAATACAGTAACTAACAAGACGGAACCAAGACCCCAGTGAAATCTAAATTGTACACACTAAGGCTGGTTGACTGTATGCATGTGTTCGAATAAAGGTAGAGCAAATGCGGAATTATTGAAATGGACACAAATTTGAAATCAAGATTAGCATCATTTAGGCCGTATCGATGTTTTCTCATAACACTAAGATATTTTGGCAAGTAAAATACCACCAACTTCGATATTTTCTGATCAAACGCGAATATTTATAACTGGCGTGAAAGTAGAAGCGTGGACATAATTGAATTCTAGACCTTCACTCCAATAACCAAGGCGAAGTAAATACCAACTCTCCTAATGAGGTTGGTATTGCAGATAAAAACGTGATTCTCAATGTCAATAGCGGGAAAATAAAAATAAATAAATTGATAGAAACCCGTTCCACAAACCTGCCACTAGGATCCACAAGTAATGCCCTAATATTATCCGTGTGCCCTCTAAGCTTCATGCTTTTCGAACCAGTTCTCGGGTCCCAAACACGGATAACCTACAAATATCCATCGTCAACATTAGAGCAGCTACAAAACATTGTCTGAATACAAACAGCAAAAAAAAAAAAAAACGAATCACAAAACATTACCTTCTCAGTTCCACCTGAAACGAGAACTGTTCCCTGATCATTAGTGGCCAATGCATAAACCGACTCTTTATGCCCTTTTGCAGCAATCGGAACATAGCCTTGATTTTGAGTGGCATGCACAGAGATATTATTGCTTGAGCTGATAGGCCTGAGACTTGTATTCGGCAAAGGACCCAAACCATTACTACTAGTGGAACAATCGTCTACATCGGCATCATTTGATTTGGCTACAGGAGAAAGCGCAGCTTCGATATCCCATACGAACACCTCCCCACCGAGCCCACCAGATGCAATGACATTGCTCTGTAACGCATTAAACAAGGAACATAAACTAAATTAAGGCTCTGTAATTATTCACTAAACCTCGAAATTAAGGTTCTATTGATGAAATATTACGTTTTTCTCTGCTGCAGCAAGGCATGTGACATAGTCAGAGTGCTGATGAAACGTCCTGGCACATACTCCATCAGATAGGGAATTCCATACCTAATATTATCACAAAAAAATATAATATGATTTCAATTCATGATCAAAGATATATATATATAAATACATTCGGGGGTTATGTAAACGAGTGCACGAACCTTAATCGTGGCATCTGAGGAACAAGAAACTAATGTGTTTCCATTTGCCATAACGGCATCGTTGACCTGCACAAATAACATATTCCACAGACGTCAAAAAAAAATTCGGGAGCCAGTGAAAATAAGCTACGGTTCTCAAAAACAAGAATGTAAAATGTTAATATATTATTGTACCCAGTCGACATGAGACTCGAAAGTAGCAGAGAAAGAAGCAGAGTCTTCGGATAACGCCCATCTCTTTAATGTGGCATCACGGCTACCAGTGAAGAGGTAGTTACACCCATCTGGTTCAGTCGACGTAAATGCAGCCAAGCAGTTTATGCCAGCACAATGCTGCACATACATTCAGACAGCACACGGTAACAAATTCAGCATACCACAGTCTGTGTTTACTTATCAACGAAAATTGAATTAGTGAGATAGAAGCATCACCTTTGTATCATCTGCATCGTTTAATACATATGTCAACCTCTTTTCTTTGCGAGCTCGAACTGAATTAGATGTGTTCCCTGCACTACCAACTCGATGCATTGCGAGAATCGCTGAAGAAAATAGCTATATTTAATTATTTATAAATACTACGAAAAAATTGGATTTTTCTCTTGATAATATGTATAGTGCCGGAACAACTACTATTACTATTATCTTATGCAGGGGTCGCGATTTACTCAACTTGGACCGGATCCTTCCGGACCCATGTGGACACACACACACACACACAGTTTTGACACAAACACATATATACACATACACACACCTTTGAGACACTCATACACACACTTCAACACACATTTCACACACACACACAAATATACACAGACATACTCACACTTTTCGTCCCGATAAATCCTTCACACAATCACCGTGACGCGTACTGTCTAAAATAAACACAACTATGCACAGTGTTCAAAATTTAGAGAGCACACCTACCACAAATCTGAAGTAAGAGGTTCCATTGATTCATACTTAAACGAGTCCATTAAACAGTTACAAATGTGTAGAAAATAGCTACCAAATAACGCAAGAATCAGTTCAGACTTCTCATATCTTGTATATTAAAAAAAAAAAAAAAAGAATAATTAAGTCCAATAGCCATTTCCTAGTGAAATAATCATCTCATACTCACAAAAATTCACAAAAATCATTCAAACAATTCAAAATCTTCAAAACAAAATTCAGATACTACAAGCAAACAACCCGAAAAAAAAAATTGTCAGACTGGACAAAACCCATGAATTATAATAACCTCGAACAATACAAACAAAAATCAAAGAGTTTGCTCAAAATTTAGTCGTACCTTAACAAATGAACACAAGTACAGACAAGAAATAGGGTTTGACCTTCTTCGATGCGGCGGTATACTTCCTTTTAAGGTGCGCCAAATGCTTAAATGAAAAAAATAGGGGATTATTTATAGATTGGATTCGCAAATACAAATCAATATTTGGTCACATCGACAAGTAGGTATGACTAAGAGATTGGATTGCAGACGGCGTCGAGCGGCGGCGGAGGAGGCGGAGGATGAGTAGTGGCGTCGATTTGAAAACCGGGGAATCGAGATGTAGGGCTGTTGAAGAAAAAATGTCCAAATTTTTTTTTAATTCTCAATATTTGACAGATGTGTTTAATTTTGAAGACTTAATACAGCCGATGACCGAAAACTGGTATTTGCGGCGGCGGTGGGCGGCGGAAGAGCCGTGGAGGAGTGAGTCAGGGGGATAAAGGAGGAGGAGAGTGGAGGTGGATTTAATCGAAAACCCCTTCACGGTCAAGAATTTCGTTATTATTCATTCAGACTCTTCTTTTTCATTTATTTTTTTTTTAATATATTCATTTCATTTTAATTTGCTTAGTCAATCTTTCTTCTCATTTTATTTGTATTTTTATATCAAATAAAATAATATGTCTAATATCAAATGAGTATTTGGTAACTCCATTTATATATTTGTTTAACGATTTACATATTAATCTTAATGAAATTAAACCGTGAAAAATAAAAGATATATAAATGACAAATATATCTATGACAAAATTATTTAGAGCCCGTTTGGTTAAGCTTATTTAAAATATTTTATAAGCTCCTACATCTAATAAAATATTTTACGAGCTGATAAGCTGTTAGATCTTATTTTAAAAATTATTTTCTAAGGAGTTTGGATATGCAGATTATAAGTTAATATTAGTTCTTATAAGTTGTTGAGGTGTTTGGAAATAAAAGATCTGTTTATCGCTATAATGACAAAACATGACATCATCATAACCATTATAAGTTATTTGACTTAAATATTTTTGTTCCTAAAATATTATTATAATATTTATGAATCAATTTTACAAATAAGAGCAACTCCAATATTAAATACCAAAATTGAATTATCAAATATTTATTTGATATTTGAGATAATAATTTAATATTGATTAAAATTTATCTACTGCAACCATGGTTATCAAATTAATTATCAATTGGAAGTTCATGGGATTTTATTTTTGTAATTGCCACATGTCCACTTTTGATTAGATGTTTAGATAATTACACTTTTTATAACTCAATTTTCAGCAAGTACTTTTACATCCCAAAAGTTGAATTATCAAAATAGAACTCTAATTAGATAACCCCATTGGAGTTAAAAATTTCTATTTTTTGGTGTATAAATAGTGGTTAATGGTTTGAATACCATGTTTGATAACTCCATTGGAGTTGCTCTAAATAATAATATAAAATTTAATATATTAATATAAGATAAAGGTTGTAAAAGAAAAGTAATTTTTTTTAGATAAAAAAATATAATTCATTATTGAGATAATAAGAATATTCGGATGTTTTATATACATATAAAATGTAAATAGAGAACTTTTTTTACAATTATTATGATAATTATATTTTAACTTATAATTAATCTTGATTATAAGAATATGTTGTTTTGATAACAATATAAATATTATTAGTATTCGTGTAACATAAGAAAGTATCTAAGGGTAATTTTGTATTTTGAGTGTTTTAGTAAATAATCAAATAAGATCAGATCTTAAAGGAAAAAGGTGGCCTGGAGGTACTTTTCAAAAAACATCTTCTAAGCTCTCTAACAGCTTATATTTTGGAAAAAATAGGATATTTTCTAATTTTTTTACCAAACATTTTTAAACAGCTTATAAGCTCTTAAACATTTTATAAGATATTTTTAGGAGCTTATGAGCTTAGCCAAACAGGCTCTTAATTATAGAGGTTTTTGCGCATAATTCCCTCACCAAGCATCTTTATTACTCTAGGTTTAGGGGCTATATCTATTTCAGGGATAATTACAGTTTTGGTCCCCCAAGTTTGCACGTTTTGCACTTTTGGTCCCCCATTTACCGCCGTCAACAAAATACACACTAATGTTGTCACATTTTAACACATTTGGTCCCTCCGTCTGTTTGACCATCAAGAAGTAACGGTCAACTGTTGAATTAGGGCTGAATTTGAGATTTTTCATAGATAAAAATTGCACTCAGACCCCTGCATTCTTTTAAAATATTCTAAAAACCCCTAAAATTTTATTCAACCATAATTTAACTCCAATGTCATCATTTAATCAATTTTGACAAACGACCCCGATTTTTACAAGCATTTTCGCTGACCGTTGACCGACGTTGTTGTTGTTGTTGTTTTTTTTTTTTTACTTTTTTTTTCGGCATTGACTTTTTTTATTTAATATGATTCTGACGCCGTTCACGACATTGTATTCTAGGTTAACAATGTTGATTTTTTTTTAATTTTCTTGATTTTTATGAACTTTTTTCTTGTGACTTTTTTTTCCCCGATCAACACAATTACCGTAGACACAATAATAATACTATGTTAATATCTAGTATCATAAGATTAAAATTACGGTCTAAAAAAAATCATAATATTAAAATTACAAAATTCTAATAAAGTTTTTATCTAATCACCTCAATTTATTAAAATTCTAAAATCCATAATTTGTTCCCCTCAATTTTTTCCTCGTGGAACCGCCAGTGCATCCCAAATTTCTTCCTAAAAAAATATGAAGACGATGAATTAGGCATGTACGGAGTAATTTGGAATGAGACAACCACTCTAGTACAACGGTTTTTGGACTAACACCGGCCGTTAATTTTTATCTTTCTTTTTGGTCTTAATTTTTTTCCGTTATTGAGATGCGATGACTTTTTCCCTTTTTCTTTATTTTGACTTTTTCTATGATATTTATTTCTTGCCGATTATCAGCTTTGAATTTATTTTGAATTATATTTTTCCATTACTCAACAATTAAAATAAAAATCAAGAGAAAAATGTCAACGTTGTTAACACGACATTCAACATTGATCAACAAGTTCAAAAAAAGATCAATCGAAAAAAGAGTCAACCGAGTTAAAAAGAAAGTCAAGGTCGGATTACCCAATTTTGAAAAATCGGGGTCATTGGTTAAAATTGATTAATTGATGAAATTGGGGTTAAATTATGGTTGGATAAAAGTTTAGAGGTTTTTAGAATATCTTGAAAGAATACAGGGGTCTTATTGCAATTTTCTCAAAGAAAAACCCCAAATTCAGCCATTGACCGTTACTACTTAACGGTCAAATAGACGGAGGGACCAAATGTGTTAAAATGTGACAACATTAATGTGTATTTTGTTGACGGCGATAAATGGGGGACCAAAAATAAAAAACGTGCAAACTTGGGGGATCAAAACTGTAATTATCCCTCTATTTCACCAATAAGCTCATCCATTTAATATTTATTATAAATAAAGGAGAAATTCGTGTATATGCCAAAATTACCCCAACCCTTTATGTAATGTCGTTGACAATAGATTAATGTAATTGTACTGTCGTTGACAGTACAATTATCGTCAATGACAATATTTTTTTTTTGTTATTTTTTTTTAATTTAATTTGTTTGATTTGTTGACAAGTCAACGTAATTATACTGTTGTCGTTGACAGTAAAATAACTGTAAACACAATAATATTACTGTCAATCACATCAATATTATTATTTTTTTTTGGGGTTTTTTTTATTTTGTTTGAGTTATTCACGGAGTAACGTAATAATATTATTGTCTATTATTTTAATATGACTGTAACACAATAATATTACTATGATTGGCGGTAATATTATTGTTATTATAGTATTATTATTATCAACCAGATCAATATTATTATTTTTTTGGTTTTTTTTTTTTTTTTGTTTTGTTTGAGTTATTCACGAACTAACGTAATAATATTAATGTCTATTATCGTAATATTATTGTGGTTGACGGTAATATTACTGTTGTTATAGTAAATATTAGTGTCACTCACATTGCATATTAAACCTTGAAAACACGAATTCGCGGCACAATGTAACCGGGTTTTGGTTGATAACGAGAATTCCACCACCTTCAACTGATTGATTTGACTCGAAACTAGCGAATCAAGCATGGTTTGTGCAGTGTCAACACCTCCAGTCGAAGATGCAAACCAACCTTTGGACGATGAATGATTACTCTCCACCGTATTCCAATACAACCACAGTTAATATAGAACAAAAACAAAAATTACATCGGTGTGTTACCAAAATGTCGGAAATCACGAGTCCAACCTCGAACAAATTTCTCCTTGTAAATTAACCACGTATCCTCTCGGTACGTTATCAATCTCATATCCCAGCAATGATTTTCATCAGTTTGTTGTAATTTTGCGCATACTTTTCTTTGATTTCCGAATTCACTAAAGCCTCCCATTTTGTTCTCTGAAACACTACACCATGCTTCTTGTTGCCTCCCATAAATCTCGTCGCATTTGCTTCAACGTTTCTGTATATATGAAATAAACATAATATGTGGTTCGACTGCGGAAAATATATGCGGCAATGCTTTCAATAAGCTCAATTCCCGATCTGTCAAAATCACATATGAATCTACACTATCCAATAATTCTCTCAAACCATAAAGCCCACGCATACGAGTCCGCGTCTTCATGCGACATGAATGCAACGCCAATCGTGAAGTTCCTTCCAACAAGAATAACGTCAATTATTTCCAATAAAGGCATCAATTACCTAAATCAAAATACAATAATAGTTTTATCATTATGAAGCACTACACAAATTTTATATTAAAATTTACATACATATTACTTGTTGGTTTTATAAGTGCAATCCATCAATATAACATGCGAAAATAAACTCAAAACTTTGATCGAATCGGGGTGCGCAAACATCACGTCGGTCATTGGATCACCGCTTCATTTTCCCGATGCTAGTGTCGATACCCATCTTGTTGGAATTTATGCATCAATTGTTGCACTACAGTCCTCCCCTCTATTTCCGTTACTTTCATCTTCGCCCGCGCATTGTAAGTATGCCTTCTAGAAGTCGTAGTCGTAGGAAACTTCTTTCTCAAATGATCAAAAATCATCATCGGCTTTACGTGACTTTTTGTCAAAACTCTTGTTATTTCGTATTGCTCTTCAGTCAAACGATTGGTCGAAAGTTGCTCATGAGGATAATTTACTGAATCATGGTTATGATTGACATTTACAAATTTAAATCGCCATAATCCATCAACTCAATTCTGGAGACACCACAACGCAAAAGGGCGTTAGCATTTCTTTGTCCCGGTATATCGAAAATTTTCCACATCAACACCTTTTGCTCGTCCAAGTTCATACTTCTCACACGTCATATACAGTCCATTGGGACTTTTAGACTGTTTTATCAAACGCATACCATGATTAATAGCAGTTTCTTTCGAATAGTTAACGAATTCCTCTCTACTATCGAACACAAGTGTAACATCAAAAAAAAAATGATTATAGTCCGTCAATTCATATGTGTTCAAATGGACCATTTTTTCTTCTTCTTCTTCCAATTCTTCTTCTTCGATGTTTCAGTAAAGACAAAAATTCCATTAAAAAAAATAATAAT